AGGGTGAGCAATCACCGGTGGTGCGTATATACATAAGGCGATGTCTGTCATTTCACACGGTCCATAGTTTGTTTCCTTCCGCGTCCGGCCAACTTGATGTGGACTAACGGTCCCATAGCTAGTTTGGAGAGAAACTCCACCCTTCTGGCTTAAAGTGACAGGCAATCAGTTCTTTGATGTGATGATCAAGAGCTTCCTAAATTTTCCGGCAAAAAAGACCAGTTATCATACAAAACAAAACGTGATTGTGCCAACGACGCTGTGATTGATGAACCAACACTTCCGCTGTCTTCACCCATGTTGACCATAAAATCTAACAGTCAGTGGTGCAATGATATGAAGTTGTGCAACTATCATCAATCACCGCAGAACACCTATCTGTTTCGTCCTTGTTAGTACTCACCAGTAATGGTTACTTTGCTAGCATCCATGGTGGACATTCGAATTGCCAGTTGAAATCTTGAACGTTGAGTTACACGATAGACAATTATGGTGATGCCAGCCCGCGAGATGAAGCATACCATGGAGCGACACGTTACGGTTTTGGGATAATTGTGATCGATCAAACTTCATGGGTGACGTCAGCAAAGCGCATGCGTGCCACAATTTCTGGACTACATAACATGGGTCGATTGTGCCAGTCAATCAGGAACCGTGCGGTCCAGACAAAAGCTGAATAACGTCAGAAATACTAGAACGCGATTGGCAGACGCCCGGATGATCAGTAAGCTTAGATTGTATTTCACAAACCTGGTATAGGAGACGACTGCGCTCTGGACAAGTTGACCAAATGACTTGACTCAACAAGATGTGAACAGATTGCGCTCGTGTGATTGACTTTGTCACCCCAGGGTGTACAACCAAGCCGGGTCATGCTCATGAGCTCTCCGAGTCAGGCGTGCAACCGATATACGTTGTTCCACACCAACAAATGAAGGAATAAACACAGAATGAGATTGCAGAAACAGGAACGTTTTTCTTTGAGTTGCCACGCGAGGGCCGGTTTGGATGCGAATGTGACAGGCAATTTCACTGCATGAAAATTTTGACTGATCGCTGTCGTCAACATTCGAGCAATTAATTTCGTCATAATGCCACCTGTAAATGGCGGTTTTATATACATTTGTTTCTTCTCTGCTCCAACAATTGTCCCCTCGTTTGTTCGGTGTTTTAATATGCTGCCCACAAATCGATCCGGATACCTAATTTGTGTAGGAAGACCTGGGGCAGGAATTCTAATTCGTTCTGAACTGTATCAGCCGAGCAGATTTTTGCACTCTGTTAGCGAGACATTGAAACAAGTCTCGCTTTCTTTTGAGAAGTATGAAGCTTTG